AAGATGAGAGTGAAGCGAGCGGCTCAAGGCCATGCAGCTGCCAGGCATAGGAGCTATGGTCTGAACCCGCCTAATCTGGCTCCTGGGCCACATGCCACCACTGTGCCACACTGTCCTTTGCCACCACAGCTGTCCTCACCCCACCCCTCCCCTGTAGATTCTTCCCAGACCTGTTGCCCATTCCCTCTGCTCTCCTACCTTGTCTCGTCTCTTCCCATCTGTTTCTCTCTCTCTCTCTCTCTCTCTCAATCTCCCCTCTTTCCTTCCTTCCCCCCTCTCTTACTCTCTCCCATCTTTCCCTCTCTGTTCCTCTACCTCAGGTAACTGTGCCACCTCAGATAGGGAGGGGGGCAGAAGTAGGGGGCCCTGGGTCACTCTGAAGAGCCCTGAGACCCCCGAGGGGAGAGCCCCATATTCCCCAAGTGCAGCAGGGAGACCTGTTACAAGAGGCGTGGCCTGGGAACTGCCTCTATCCCTTAGCACCTCCAGACTCCGAAAGGCAGAACTGCACTTGCCAGAACCATAGGAAACCACAGGTCCCAATGGGGTTGCCCACTCTCACAGAGCAGACTCAGGAGGTAAGAGTGTAAATCAAGCCCCAGGCAGGAGTCCCTGGACCAGTTCCTCTCCGGAATCTAGTTGTGTCCCCAGATAAGGCCGGGGGCCAAAGGAATAGAGACCCCAATCCTGTGCCACAGGCAGCCAAAGGGCTCCTGAGCCCCTCAGGGGCTCATGCTTTTCCCGCAGAGGCCACAAGGTCTGCAAAACCCAATGCCAAGGGGATAGTCTGGAGAATGGGCTGTTGGATTGGGCTCAGAGCATGTAAGCTCAGAGAAGAGGGGTCCAGGCAGCACCCACTGGAAACCTTGGGTAGGTGTGCAGCCTGGGGCTCTAGAGGGGAAGAAACTGGTGTTTGGAGGAAGCCAGCAGCACAGAGGATTTTCACCACATTTCATAAAGGGGAAGGATGGTGCCCTAGAATAAAAACCACTTTGGAGAGTCCAAAATATTTGAATCCAAGTCTGTTTTCCTTCACTGGAAATAGGCTTTACAAGCTAATCTCTCTCTGAGCTGCAGGTTTCCTTTTTCCCTTAAACCTGCCCTTGCCAGCCCCCCAGCCCCGCCAATCTTTTTCTTCCTGCTATGGAAGTTCCATGGTAAAGCATCTTTCGCCTCTGCCCTGCGCCCTGATGGATGTCCTGAGCAGCAACTGCGTTCCCCTTCCTGGGTCTGGCCCTGCCACTGGAGAGGGAGGGTCCTCAGACAAGCCCCAGCAAGGGAGGTCCCTTGCTCCATGAAGTAAGCAGAGGTAGCGAAAAGGAGAAAGCACAGGGCGGAAGTGTGACGTGAAACTTATGTGAGCACTGGGCCCAGACCAGAGGGGAGAGGTGCTGAGTGCTGGAGACCACGGGGGCCTCAGGGAGAGCAGGCAGGAGCACAGAGGTGCTGCTAAGTTGGGGGATAATTGCTGGGTGACAAATATGGCACCAATAAGGAGGGAGCTCAAGAACAATCTACTCTGTAGGTTCCAAGAGTCTGAGAGATCTAGGATACCCTTCAACCTCATGTCTAGGGGGCAAGAGACTCCCACGCTTGTTGAGACAAGGCAGTATGAAAGTCTGCCCCAGGGGCAGGGATGAGGTTTGTTCATAAGATTCTGATTAATTAGCACTCTTTAGCTGTGTGTGTGTGTGTGTGTGTGTGTGTGTGTGTGTGTGTGTGTGTGATCTGATTGTCTTCTCATGATCAACCAGGCTTGACCAATTATTTTTCTGGACAACTGATCTTCATATCAGCCCATCTTTAGTTGTTGAGTTTTAGGCAAAATCATAGTTGTAGAGGTAATATAGAGTTGCAGCACAAAGCATCTTTTCTGAATCTACCCTCACTTGGTGGCAGCATCCCTAGATGGGTGGTGCTGGGAAGCACTCTGTGCCAGATGTAGTTAGTCTGGCTGTGACGATCACGGACAGCTTTAAGGGAGACAGCAATTGTCTTCACGCAGAGATGAGACTTCCTAGGCAGGAATTTCACGTGGGTTCTGCCCCGGATCCTGTGTATCTCAGGATGTGGCGCACAGTTTCTGGGACCAGGCACAGAAGAGAGGACCCAGGTGAGATTTCATGAGTGGCCGTGCAGCAGTGTCAAGATTGGAATCAAACTTCTTTCCACATGCAGACTATGTGGTCCAGCTTCAGGCCAAGGAGTAGGGGCATAAGCAAGTACCATACTCCATGGGTACCAGTCCCCTTGTTAGGGTATCTCTGACACTGGCCACCAAGGAACGCAGGGAGGGAAGACGGGGTCCCATGGGCTGGTTGGAGGAAGAGGGGACCGCTCAGCTACAGTTCCATGCCCGTCCACGTTGCCACCGCCCACATGGCCCAGGCTGAGGCTCGAGCTGCTGCAGCCTCTAACTCTTCATGTTCAGTACTTCCTGTCTCTCCCTTTCCCTAATCTTCAATAGTTCTGCAGTCCCAAGGAGAACCAGGTCAGAGCCATGCATGCCCTATACTTAACTAAGTTTCTCCTGTGCCCCTGTGGCCGGGGACTTCCTAGGTCAGGCTTTTCTCGGGAGCCCGTTCACCAGGTACATAATCCCTGGCCCCAAGTAGTCACTATGGCCTTGCCCTGGTTGCCCTGCTACAGGGAGAGCCTGGTTTCCTCTCCATTCCCTCTGTCCTCCTATTGGTTCGACACCTGCCACAGCCAAGGCCTGTGTGGCCTCTTCTTGGGGGCAACTGCGGACTGCTACGGGATTTCCTGGGTGAAAGTCTCTTGCTCAGCACCTCATGACGTCCAGGATGACCCCAGCTCATGCAGGCCCGGTACTTCACGGTGTAGATCTCAGCCTCGTGGCTACCCTGGGAAATAGATCGTCCCCATTTCCCGGATGAGGACGATGACACAGCAATAAGTGGGGCCATGGTGCTGGATCTGGCATGTTCCATGGCATGTTGAACTGAGGAGTCCCCTGGTAAGGTCTGTAGTGGGCAGAGCAGGGCCGGGGGCCTCCTAGAAGGCCACCTCTGCTCTCAGGAGTTTTCAAAGGCTGGCTGCCTGATGTTGAGTCTATCTCATTGTGAGTGAATTAATTGTTGTGCAACCTAGAGCGGTGAGACGAGTTAATTACATAATTACTGCAAAACGACATGCTATTTCATGGCTGCAATATGGGGACTCTGTTGGAAACAATTGTAATTGCCCAGAAACTGCATTCGAGTGGCTCCGTTATCTCTCGATAACCATGTAATTAACTTGTGTTACAACTTCATCTGCAGTAAACTCTGAAGTTAGGAATTGGGGCCCTTGGGGTGGGGGCACAGCCATCCTTGGTAGAAGGGCCCAGGGAGGGGCTGGTGCTGGGGTCTCTGCTAACATCCAGAAAAATGATTTGCTTTTCCAAGCTGAGTGAGAAAATCCCTCATGACAGACTCCAGCCCTCAAACTCACGCACTCAAACCCATTCACTGTCTCATACGGCCATGTACAACCACACACCTCCCCAGTCTCAGTCACACCAGACACGTCACACAAAAATTCCTACTGCAGCCAGGCTGACTGGCTCTCTGCTCCTCCCCTCTGTCATACAGCTCTGTCACAGAAGGTGGTTGTCCCAAAGTTGAGGACCCCTACCTACCCCAGTATCCATGGTCCTTGCCACCCCTTCCCATGGACTGGGCCACTGGCCACAAAACCACAACGTGGAGAGGTAGCCTCTTCCAAGTGCCCAAAGGGCCCAGCCACCACCCCCAACTTCACTGAAAGTGGAGGAGCAGGCCTGGGGCAGGGTGAGGTGAGGTTCCCAGCCCAGGAGGGGGTGAGGCTTGAGGCTTGAGGCAGTGGGCAGGCTCCATCAGCCCCGGGCTCTCGTCTGAGGCCAGGGTGAAAACCGTCCCTGGAGAAGGAAGAGCAAATGACTGCTAGTGGGAGGAGTCTGTCCATACCGCCTTCCCTGTGCCGGCTTTGGATCCAAGGAGTCCCTATTTTTAATACCGCTCAGTGACACGTTCACAGTCCCAGGCTCTGTGCTTGGTGCTGGGGCTGCGGCCAAGAGTGAGACAGCGTCCCTGCTGCCCTGGGCAGGCCTGGTCCAGCCGGTAAATGCAAACCGCCGTGGGTGTCTGCCTGGCTGGCTGTCCCTGCCTATTTCTGCCTCCACCCCCACTGCCGGTGTGTCCGTGTCTCCTCCCTGCCAGCACACGCATCCGTCTGACTGTGGGTATTCACTGGATGGCCTGTCTCAGACTCTCCGGAGTTTTCAGAAGTGGCCCTTGTCCGCTGATGGGAGCTGGCCTGTCCCGGGTCTCCCTGCGGTGCTCGTCCTCACTGTGATGTGCTCCATTTCTTTTCCTGGCTTTCTCCCTCCTCCTCAAGGGCAGAGACTATGTCCGATCCATGATTCATCCGCATGTCTGGTGCTTGCAGCATGGGGCTGAGACAGAGTGGATTAAGGTTTGCTGAATGAATGAATGAAAGCCTCTAGCCTGTGTGGGCTGAATACAGGCAAGCAGGATTGTTCTTGCTCACCCAGAAGAGCAGAAAGGCGGGCCCCAGGTCAGGCCCAAGCTGCAGGGAGGAGACAGCAAACGCTGTCCATCACCCTGAAAGGGAAGAGGGCTTTAAGAATGGTATTCCCATGGTAGGGGGCTCAGGATTTGGGGTCCTGCTGTGGGGGAGGTCAGGGCTGGGTTCCTGGCTGGGGGTCTCAGTGGAGGGATGTAACACAGGAACCCAGGGAAGGGAGGGTTTCATCATACCTCTCCGTATCTTGGGAGCCAGGGTATATGCTCTGCCGGGGGAGAGCCCACCCCTGGCTGTGGGATACTTGGAGTTGTCCCCTTCCCTCCACCTTCTACCCAGCAACAGCACATGCTGGAGCCCCATGCCCTGCTCCACACCCCTCTCTGGAGGGGTCAAAGGGAGGGCCCTGTTCTGCTCCCAGGCAGAGGGGAGGGACCCTAGGTCTGTGTCAGTCATGTGATCAACGCACAGTAACCTCCCCGGAAACATTCATAAGTTTAATCCACGCCAGTAATAAAATCGCATTACATTTCTCATAAAATAAATGTTCCCATTTATATACAGAAGACAGACTGTACAGGCCCAGCCTCGCCCCAGGAGGGGTCACACACAGACGGGCGGCGGAGGAAGGGCCGTCCCTCCCATCGAGGACGGAGGAGTTCTAATCGGCAGGAGAGTGGTTGGCCGGCCAGGCGGGTGGACAGACGGGCAGACAGGCAGACGGACAGACGGGCCTGGAGGCCAGGCGCCGGGCATTACTGAACCTGGGATTCAAAGGTGCCATTGAGCTGTCCCTCCTCATAGTCCATCTGACACAAGATCATGTTGTTCTTCAGGAAGAATTTGTCTCCCACACAAAATCTGGAAAATCCAAGCAGGAGAAAGAGGCCATGGAGGGGTCCCAGTGGATGGTGGAGGCTCCAGACAGGCCCCAGCCCAGCCCAGGAGGTGGACATGTGAGAACTGAGGTCCTGGAGAGATTGCTCCTTGAATTTTCCAGAAGGGATCCCCAAAAGTCTCATAGCAAACCTGGTCAATCACCCTGGGTCAGCCCAGTCCTTAGCCAGGCCCTGCAGTCTGGGGTGTAGGACAGACAGACAAGTCTGGGCCACAGTCAGGTCTCCGTGGAGGGGTGGGGTTGGTGGGAAGGTATAGGAATAGCCTACCCCAGTCCCAGAGAGGGAGAAAGAGAGAGAAGGACAAAGAGACAGAAAAAGACCAAGAAAGGAGAGAGGTAGAAGTAGGGAAGGAGGAAGGGGCAATATGGTTGATTTTTCCATCCCTCTGTTCCCTTCCCCAACTTAAGAGGATGACTCAGTGAAGGGTACTCCTGAACAGAATCTGTAGGTTTCCTGGAGGAGCATCCTTCCAGGAGGAGGTGGCTCTGTCCACCATCTTCCCTCCCACCTAAAGAAGGCCTTGCTTTGCTGCACCCACCCCCTGGCCCTCCTCAAGTACTGGAGGATTTAGCCCTTCCCCAAAGATGTCCTCCAGGTGGCTAGGCCTTTAGTGGGACCCAGGGTCATAGGCCCAGTCCCAGCAGATTCCAATCCAACCACCAGGTGGCACTGCAACTTCACCGAGGCCTTGGTAACAGAGGGTCTGGCCAAGCCCCCAGCTATCCCCTCAGCGTTCCCTCTGGACCTCATCCTCTGGGAACACTTGTATTAGCTCCTTCCTGACATGGGCTCCAGAGGGTTCTGGCTCCTTAGGTCCCTGGGGCCTCCCACAGGGCTGGGACACTGTGTAGGGGCCAAATACCAGAAAGGAGGCAGACTGGCACCAGAATCACAAGAGTGAGTAGCCATTCCCATAATGGATTTCACCTTCCGGGTCTGGGAACACCTTCTCACTGAAATGTACATGCATGCACATACATATGGCACGTACACAAGGGCACAGGGCATGCATTCAGAACCCTTGTACGTGCACATTCAATACGTGTGCACGTGCATACTCCATCATGCACACACCTGCTCACAGAGCACACACGCATACCTACCTTGTACAGGGACATTTACAAATACATACACGTCCATGGCACAGCGTGCACACACAGTAAGCTGACGCAAGACCCATTATATTCATACAGATCTGTGCCCTACAAATATGCACACACGGTGCTGGAGGACACACACTTGGCTCCAGGGCTCAGGCACACACAAAACACATGCATGCACGTGCATGCTCAGGACAGCACGGACGTACCACCAGATGCACAGCAGGACCCACATTTGCATGTACATGCCCACAGCACTCCTGGTCTGTGCCAGCAGGCATCGGCTGGGGTCTGGTGAGAATGTGGGGTCTGCTACCCGTTCAGCACTCACCTCTGGTTGCAGAGCTGGCAGGCGAAGCAGTCGAGGTGATATACGTTGTCCCGGGCCCGCATCACCATCTCGAAGGCTGGGATCAGCTTGCTGCAGGCGGCGCAATTTCCTGTGGTGCCAAAAAGCCTGCCAAGGGAAAGGTGCAGAGGGTGTAGGGGGCTGGGGGACAGGGGAGCTGCCTCTGCCCACGGCCCCGCTGGTCCCTACTCCCGTGGGCTTAGCAGGTGGGCCTAGGCAAGGGGGAAAGAGCACAGACAGCAGCATCTAGATTCTGCTAAGAGATCAGGCTTTGGAGAAATCGGCACAGCGATCCAGGGAGGGGAGCGTAGGGGCTCCAGGGGTTGGATGACATCGCCCATCCCTGGGCTGGGCTGGCAAAGCCCCCTCCCCAGCTCCCACCGGGGTTCAGCTAGCACCCAGGGCCACTGGAAGAACACTGGGCTGGGCCCTGAGCGAGGACTCCAGATTCACACAAGCAGGAATTCAGAGGCAGTCTGCCTGCCCTCAGGCAAGTCATGAGTCTCCGAGCCTCATTTATTTCAACTGTAAAACAGGGACACTGAAATACATCCTTTGCAGGCTTGTTGTGAGAACTTCTATAAACTCTCAGTCATGGATCATTCAGTGAACACCTATAACAGTGTGTGTTTACTATGTGCCATGCACTGTTCTGAGGGCTTTACAAGATAAACTCATTTATTTTTTTTTTTAAGAGAGAGAGCGCATGTAAGTGGACAGAGGGGCAGAGGGAGAGAATCTTAAGCAAGCTTCACACCCAGCGTGCAGCCCTAGGCGGGTCTTGAACCCCAAGATCATGAACTGAGCTGAAATCAAGAGTAGGATGGACGCTTAATCAACTGAACCACTGTGGTGCTCCCCAAGATCAACTCACTTAATCGTGGCAACAACCCTGTGGGGTGGTCTTTTTCTGCTACCAACTCACTGGGTGATCTGCCTAAAGCCCTTTTTCCTTTTCCTGGATCTCAGTTTATCCTTCTTCAAAATGGGGATGCTGGGCTAGGTGATCCTGTTCCAAGTCTAAAATAGGACTGATTCCCAAAGAGAGTTCCCAGGACACCTGGAATGATGCCTCTTTCACGCAAGCGTCCCTTCTCTTAGCTGCTGGTTGCAGAGTGCAAGGGGTGGGGTGCACACTTTCTCCCCAGTGCAGGCCAATCTTTGGCCGGGTGTTCCAATTGCCTGAGCCAGCCAGGCTCTTCCTTGCTCCTTTTCTGTACACTGGCTGAGCAAGCCCTGAGTGAGGCAAGGGGGCTGAGAGGCAGGCAGGAGACCCTCTAATCCCTGATTTGTCCAGCTCAAGCTCAGGCGCCTGCGGATGAGCTTGGCTCCATTATTCATCAGCCTGAGCTGCCTGGTGGCTCAGATTAAGGCAGACAAAGGCTGGGCCACAACATCTGCCTGCCAAGGCGGGGGCTTCACTGCCCCCAGTCCAACGAGCAGTGGCTGCAGAGGTGGCAGGCTCTGGATAGCCATTATCTGGGGCTGAGCAGCCCCAGGAAGTCTGCCTCCATCCCAGCCCACTGACCTACCTGGCCCCAAAGTCATTCCTTGGCCTCTGTCAGAGCCCAGAAAAAAACACTTTCAGGCTCCAGTAGCTGGCAGAGCACAGAATGCTTCTGGGTGCTTTGGCTCTGTTGACAAACCCATTCTTCACTGCGGTCCCCTCTCTTTAGGTCCTCTGTACTCATCAGTTGGTGTGACACCTCTCCTCAACCTGGGAGGTTCAGCCCCCCAAGGATGCCTGAAACCTTCAGACTTGGAGGCCCCTTCCAGGTCATCAAGGGGGAAGTCCCCAGAAAGAACTTTTCTTAACTCCTCCTTCTGGCCTCAGCGCTTTCCTCTAGCCCAGTGAGGAGCACTGGGTCACTGATCTTGGATTACTGCTGCTATACCTTAAAAACTAATGAAGGCAGGGGCACCTGGGTGGCTCAGTCGGTTGAGCATCCAACTTTGGCTCAGGTCATGATCTTGCAGCTTGTGAGTTGGAGCCCTGCGTCAGGCTCTGTGCTGACAGCTCAGAGCCTGGAGCCTGCTTTGGATTCTGTGTCTCTCTCACTCTCTACCCCTCTCCCGCTCATGCTCTTTTTCTGTCTCAAAACTAAATAAACATTTTAAAAAATTAAAAAAAAAAAAAAAACAAACTTCTGAAGGCAGAAGAAAGAGAAGGTGCAGGCAGGTAAACCTTAGGCTCTTCCTCAAAGTAGGAGAGACTCTGTTGATAACCCTGCCCCCCCCCCCATACGGCCCAGACATGAACAGAGGGAGCCCCACAAAGCTCTTGCCCTGACCTATTAATTAATGCAATGGGCCTTCCTTCCTCACAAGGCCCAGCCACTACCCAGCAGCCTGTGTAGGAGCCAAATGTAGATGCTGGGTCTCAGCCAAGGCCCCCACTTTGTGGCCTCGTTCCAACCTTGCTGATGTCATAAATGGCCTAAGGGAGGGTTAATTGGGGGAGACAGCCCCAGGGAATAGGATCCAGGTTGTGGGGGAGGGTGGGTTAAAACTCCAAGGAATGGGAGTTGAAGCTTTAGTCTTCATACTATTCTAGGAGGGGCAAACCAAGGCTTGGAGAAAGTTAAAAGCCAGAAGGTTCATAGTTCAAACCCAGGACCCAGGGGACTTAGAGCTTCCCTACTTGCTCCAGGAAGCCCTCTGAGGTGTCCCTTCCCAGATTCCAGGGAAAGGGTGGGTCAGAAGCACCTGGCAAAGACAGGGGCCAAACCAGACTGGTGCCCTAGGGAAACTTATCTCCAGTGCCCAATGGTTGCAAAGGCTTGCCCACGACCTGGGCTGGGCATGGAGGCCAGGGAGTTAATGTGTGGCTCTGTCTTCAGGGCTCCGTGAGCACCCAGCGGAGCAGGGCTGGGCCAGGACTGTCTGGGACGAGTGCACACAGACAGGGCCTAGGTCAGAAGGTAGGGGCAGAGCCCTGCTGGGTCCTGGGGGATGGGAGCTTTCTGAGCAGAGCAGCCAGGGCTGGCAGGAGGCCCACCTCAGATAGTCGCGTCGGCACAAGATGAGGTTGGCCTTGGTGTAGAGGGTGGAGCCCACCTCGCCCAGGCGGCAGTCACAGCAGGCACACTTGAGACAGTCCTCGTGCCAGTACTTGTCCAGTGCCTTCAGCAGGTAGCGGTCCTTGATCTTGCGGTTGCAGCCCGCACAGCCCTTCTGCTTCCCTTTGGGCTGGACGGAGAGCATCGGCACGCCTGTGGATGGACAGATGACAGACAGATGGACATAGGAAGGACCCTGTGGCTCCAGGCCCCGGGAGCCATCCCTCTGGGAATAGGGGCCCACTGCTTCTCCTGGGGGTTCCCAGGCATCCTCACTTTCTCCCCAGCAGCCTCTGCCCCTGGCGCCGGGTCCTGTCCTTCCAGCTGTACAGCACAGTCTGTTCCCTGCCCTGAGAAGATCCCTCCAGAAGCTGCAGCGGCAGCTGGGAGCCCCGCATCTGCTGTGCTGCAGGGCACACACATAGCCCCAAGGCCCAGCCCCCCTGAGCTGTGTCTCCCGTCCATCCTGCCACTGCCTCCTGTGTGGTCTGCTCCATAGGAGGCCTGAAGCCCTCCTCACGCAGCAACCATCTGACTGGCTCTTTCAGTGGCCCGAAGAACTGAATCTCATAATGGGCTTGGGTCCGCTAGAACAGATCTCTCACAGATCTTTTTGCGACCTCAAGACTTCCTCACATTGTTTGTGCCTTTGACCATTTTAACCTAAAATGTCAGGTGACAGCCTCTTGGTTTATTCATGTAGACCTGTGGCAGTATCAGGAACAAAGTGGGGTGCCCCATGACACTCCCAGTGGGGTGCAGGAGCTCTGGGTCATCCGGCAGATGCCTGCAGCTGGGCCTGGCCTAGTTGGGGCTCTCCTTACGAAAACTTCTGGCTAGATTCAAACTTTTTACCTGCCCTGGCTTGAGGGAGGGGAGGTTCAGAGTCTCTCAATCCTTCCTCCTCCCACCAGGATAAGAATCTCTGAGCCAAGGTAGGGAGGGTGACAGGCCAGGGGGAGGCGGGGGGGGGGGTGGTGGTTGGAGGGAAGCTCCCAGGGCCCATGGGTGCTTCTCAACATACAAGAAAAAACACAAGGACAGGAATTTCAGCACGGAGCTTCCTGGAAGGAGAGGCAGACCTCCCAGTAGGCAAGTGTATGCACTCATGCACATCACACGTACACAGGCATAGCATGCAGGCATGTGCACAGAGGCACAGCCTCCTACCCTCTGGCCTTGGGGCCACAAGGAGTGACCACAGGGAGAAAAAGTTGAGGAGGAGGTGGGGACCGATGTTGTCCTGAGTCTGGACATGTGTGTAGAGCCCTGAGGCTTGAATGTGGTGAAGATTATGCTCAGAGGGACGTGCAGGGAGTCTCAGAGCCAGGCCCAGGCTGGGGGCAGGTGGGAATGCCTGTAAGAGTTGCCTGAGAGCCCCTCATGAAGGCAGTGGGGGTGGGGGGTGCCTTCCCTGACATGAGCTCAGGTGGAGGAGTCCACTCTGGAGGGGAACAGCCCACCCCTTCCTGCCTCCTTGGCTCCCCACCAAGCCTCTGGAGTCTACCCCTCTCCTGGCCCCATCCTCTCCAAGCGACCCCGGCACTCTCCAGGGCTCTGGGCTCAGCTCCCACCTCCTGGCATCCCTCCTACCCCACCCCCGGCCCACTGCCCCCTTTCTCTTCCCCCTTCCTGGCACGTGACCCTTCCTCCGACTTCAGAGGAGGACCAGCCTCCAAAGGGCCCCAGTCTCAAAACCCACAGATGTCAGGTCAGAAGGGCCCTCAGAATTCTTCCAGGCAAATGTTCTGAGAAATGATGGAGAAACCAAGGCACAGAAGGTCTGAAGGTCAAATCTAGTGTAAGCCACTAATCAATCTGGCCCTGGGGGGTCCTCCCTGCCTCCTGCGTCTCTCTTGGGGAGGGGACCCGCCAGAAGCAGCAGGACAGGTGAGGGCAGGGGAGAGGCAGCTCAGGCTGCCTTCCTCCTTCCTCCTTCCTGCAGTCCCCGCAGGGCCTGGCTGTTAGCTGGGAAGCTTGCTGACTAATTTCCTTAATGCAGCTCTAAAGGTTAATTGGTCTGAGAGAGTGATGAGGCCCAGGATGACTACGTCCTCAGGCCTGCCTGTGTCTCCTCTGGCGGGGTCCAGCCTGGTCACAGAGCTCTGAGGAGGCCGTGGAAGCCAGCTGGGGAGCAGGCATCCCCGAGAGCTAAGGGGGCTCTGAAGTGTTTTTTCCAAGGTCTGGCCTACAGGGAGGAATCAGGTGTGGGCAAATGGGGGAGGGGTCAGGACAGCTGGAGGTGAGGAGGTGTGTGGGTCCCAGGGTGGGGCTATTGTCCCCGGAGCCTGTGGAAGAAGCAGCCAGCCAGCACAGCTGTACCTGTACACGCACACCAACTTGGAAATCTCAGGCCAGGCCCCTAGGGTAGCTCCACTAAGGCTGGCTTGCCCCTTGCTCACCTGGACTGGCAGCAGGCCCGAGCCCCCCAGGGCTCTACGCTTGTGCTCTCAGTAGCAGGGGGTGTGTGAGTAACTGGAAAAGCCACACTCAGGGGATCCACCTGATCCACTAGGTTATACCCCCAAATAAGGAAGGACTCCAGCACTAAAAGTGTCTGTCCTGCTCTATCCTCCCGCTGGCATGGCTTCCGGACAGGCTGGCCTTCCAAGCTCAGGCCCCAGCACGCCTAGCAGGCCCCAGAGCCTGCAGGGCTGTGAGCTGCAGCGCGAGCTGGCAGTTCCATCACCGGTGGGACCCTGAACCTACACGACCCAGGGAGGCCATGAGGCGTGAAGTCACAAGCTGCCCCCAGGTCCCTTGTCCCCTGCCTGTGGTTGGGCTGGGCCTGGCACTCAGCAGTGCTCTGCGAGGCCTGGGAACCCTGCTCTAGGGTACTGAACTCTGCTTCCTGGGCCCTGGAGGACTCTTAAGAAGTCATACAGATTTGGGGTGCCTGGATGGCTCAGTTGGTTGATCATCTGCCTTCAGCTCAGGTCATGATCTCACGGTTAGTGAGTCTGAGCTCTGTGTTGGGCTCTCTGCTGTCCGCACAGGGCCTGCTTCAGATCCTCTGTCCCCCACTTTCTCTGCCTCTCCTCTTGCCCACATGCGCGCGCTCACACACACACACACTCTCTCTCTCTCCCTCTCTCAAAAATAAAAATAAAAACTTTAAAAAAATTAAAACAAAAAAAGAAACCATACGGCTTCTGCCAGTTTCTGACACCCACTGAGACACAGAACTGCAGGGCCAGCCTGCCTAAGGAGGTCCCAGGGCACAGGGACCTTGAGCCTTCTCTGCCTAGGAAGGCTGAAGTCCTGGGAGAAGTCTGACTCACCCCTTCCTTCTTTAGGGAGCATCCATACTGTTTGCTCTCACTGAGTTAGTTCAGGAGACTTGAAAACACTCCTGGAAAGGCAAGGAGGTTTAAAGGGGGCATCTCTGGTCTCCTGCTCCCTAAATGAAGTGAAATGCTCCCCAGAGGGTCAGGGCTCTCCCTCCCTGCCCTGCCTCCCCAGCCCCCACCCAGCCTGCCAGTCAGCCCCGCAGACACCTCTTCCCTCCCTCCCCTGCCTGGCTCTGGGAGCTGAGCCTCGGGCCATGCACTTTCCATTAAGGAGATAGCATCCCTTTGCTGAAGTCCATTTGGGATCCATTTTAGTGTTATCTAAAAATCAAATCTACATGGTAATCCTTTTAATGTACTCCTGACTTTAGGAAAAAAACAGCTTTGCGCTCCTTCAGGAAAGGTTTTAAAGCATTACCCAGTAATTACTACTCACCCATGAAAACACTGATATTTTACAATGGATGATGTTGAGCCTGCCCGCACGTGCGGGCACAAGCTCAGACATACACGGGGACCCAGCCAAAGAAACCAGTTCACATAGCCTATTTGCTCCTCCTCAATCTCAGGGTGTTGGGGGATGACATCTGAGGGGAGATCGGCCAAACCCCTACCCCGCCTCTACCCCAGGCAGGCTGATAGTGGAAGGAGGCAGCCTCCCAGTCTGACTCATCCGGCTGCCAGACACTTACCCTTAGCTCTTTAATCTGAGGACAAGCCAGACAGTCCCAGTGACCAGGAGGGACTGCCAGAGGTCATTTGGCTCTTTCCACACCCACCCGCCAGCCAGGAGAGAAGCCCTCCTCTTCACAGGGACCCCCCCAAGTGGTCTGCCAGGTCAGACCCAGTCCTCGGCAATCCCCGCCCACCCACCCCAGGCCACGCTGCCCCTCACCTTCAGCCCGCGGACCTCTCCAAACTGCCAAGCCCACTGCTCCCAGTCCCACTGATGCCTCCAGCGTGGACAGCAGGCTGAGCTCCTCCAAAGCCAGTCCTCTGTCCTGGAATGCCCACCCCATCCAGCCCTGGTTCACTCTGAGCTATGTCTTGGGCCCCTGCACCCACCACTGGCAGCTCCACCTGGCATGTGAGGCTCCCTCCCACATCCAGCACATCCTGCTTGGCCCTCTGGATCTGCTCCCTGCGGAATCCTGGAATAGCATCCCTCTCCATCCTGCAAATGGACCTGGTTTGCTTCTGTCCCAGGACCTTCCCTCCATCGCTGCTCCCAGAAGAAAGGCCTGGTCCTGCCCATCCCACCCTTGACCAAAACTCAGAGTCAGCACTGGGGCTGAGGCTCAGGGTACTGAGCTTGAACTCTGAGAGCCTACTTTCCAGCCTGAGAACTGTTCCAAGTAGCTGGAGGTTCTGGAGCAAATCCCTCATCTTTCTGACTTGCTGTTGTGAAATGGGAGCCATAAAGGTCTCTTTCCACACAGATGACGGTGAGGACAGAACAGGTCATACATATGAAGCCACAGGAGAGTCTGGCATCCAGCAGGGGACACACCGGAAGTGGATAGTATTATTAATATGCATCTCAGGATGCCCTCCCCCTGTTCTGACACTTGTTTCCTTTCTCCTTTAACTTTTTATTTTGATGTAATTTCAAACCTTCAGAGAAGTTGCAAAATAGAAAGAATTCCTGTATACCTTTTGTGTAGATTCCCTAAATATGGGCATTTTATCATGTTTGTTTTATCCTTCCCTACAGACCTCCCTATAAGATCTATAATATTCTTTCCGACTCATTTGAGAGTTGGCTTCGGACATGAAGCCTTATAATCCTCAATACTTTGATGTGTGTTTCCTAAAAGCAAGGACATTCCCATACAATACGATTAACAAAACCAGGAAATGATC